TTCTTGTAGGGTTATTAATTGGCCTAATTTTAATATTATTGTGTTTCAGAAAACAGGGAGTCCCAAGGTAAGGGAGAGAGACAAGGGAACAACCAGAACACACCCATTTATCAGTTAAATTTGCCATCTTATATGGGTGCAGTTTGTGGCACCCCAAAACAATTCCAATAGTGACATCAGAGATCACTAACCACAGATCACCGTAACAGATAAAATAATCAAAGATTTGAAGTATTGTGAGAATTACTAGAACATGACAGAGATATGAAGCGAGCACATACTCTTGGAAAAATGGCACTGTAGCCGACTCAGTGGCTTATCCTATAATCCCAGCACTTTGGTAGGCCAAGTCTAGTGGATTGCCCAAGCCTGAGGGCTTGAGACCTGCCTGGACAACTTGGCGAGACCTCGTGTCTACAGTAAATCAAAAATTAGCCAGGCGTGGTGTGTGTACCTGTAGTTCCAGCTAGTTGGAAGACTGAGGCGGAAGGATCCCCAAAGCCCCGCAGGTTGACAATGGGGTGGCCGTGAGCGTGCCACTGCACTCCAGCCTGCGCTCCAACGGAGCGAGACTCCAACTCAAAACAACAAAAAAAATGGCACTGTATATTTGCTCTACTCATGGTTGCCACGACCTTCAGTTTTGTTTGGTTTTATTTTAGTGACAGGGTCCTGCTTTGTCACCCAGGCTGTAGTGCAATGGCAGGATCCTAACTCACTATAGCCTCAAACTCCTGAGTTCAAACAATCTTTCTACCTCAGCCAGGATCCTGAGGAGTTGGAATAACAAGCGTGCACCACCAAACCTGGCTAATTTAAAAAAATTTTTTTTTAGAGACAGGGAGGAAGGGAGGATTGCTTGAAGCCAGGAGTTCAAGACCGAATTTGTTTGTTGCCTTTAAGAGAAAGAAAAGTCAGCCAGGCTCCGTGGCTCAGCCTATAATCCCGTGCCTTTGGGAGGCTGAGGTGAGTGGATTGCCTGAGCCCACAGGTTCGAGACCCACCTGGGCAGCAAGACCTCATCTCTACAATAAATCAAAAAGTCAGCCGGGCGCGGTAGCGCATGCCTGTAATTCCGGCCACTTGGAAGGCTGAGGCGGAAGGATCGCCGAAGCCCAGCAGGTTGAGGCTGTGGTGGCCGGGAGCGGCCACTGCACTCCAGTCTGGGTGACAGAGTGAGACTCCAACTCAAAAAAAAAAAGAAAAAGAAAAGTCAGTCTCTGCATGGTGGTTCGCACCTGTAATTCCAGCAATTTGGAGGCCAAGGCAGGAAGATTGCTTTAGACTAGGAATTCGAGACAAGCCTGGGCAGCATGGTGAGACTCGCCTCTCTACAAATGACAAAAGAATTAGCCCATGGAAGCTCACACCTGTAGTTCCAGCTACTCTAGAGGCCGAGGTGAGAGGATCACTTGAGTCTGCAAGTTTGAGGCTGCAGTGAGCTATGATTCCACTACTACACTCCAGCCTGGGTGACAGAGACCCTCTATATTAAACATACAGATACATATGCTATCTGCAACACACAATAAAAACAAGATTTACCTGTACTCCTTGCATCTAGGTGTATAATCCGTTGAATGGTAGACTTTTCCCACCCTCCACCATTCCCCATGATATTCTCAGTTATACTCTCGATTATGTAGGTGTTGATCAAGCTACCAGAGACAATGTTATTATGGAGTTAGGACTTAATTTCTGGTATTCTGTAGCATTCCACTTTTCAGTCACTCCATCTGGAGGTATTTTTCAGAGGTTAATTGGGAGAAGAGTAATAACGTTCTAAAGTTGGATCGTGGTGATGTTTGCACACCTTCGTGAATATACTAAAAACCATTTAATTGTACATTTTAAATAGGTTAATTGTAAATGAATTACATTGCCTTCACCTCCCAAAGTGCTGGAATTACTGGCGTGAGCCACCATGCCTGGCCTTCTCTGGTCTTTAAAAGGTGTGTTTCCTTTTGTTAAAAATTCTTTTGCCGGTCTCAGTGGCTCAGCCTGTAATCCCACACCTTTGGGAGGCTGAGGTGAGTGGATTGCCTGAGCCCGCGGGTTCGAGACCCGCCTGGGCAGCGAGACCTCATCTCTACAATAAATAAAAAAATCAGCCTGGCGTAGTGGCGCATGCCTGTAATTCTGGCTACTTGGAAGGCTGAGGCGGAAGGATCGCTGGAGCCCAGCAGGTCAAGGCTGCGATGGCTGGGAGCGGCCACTGCACTCCAGTCTAGGCGACAGAGTGAGACTCCAACTCAAAAAAAAAGAAAAAGAAAAAAAAAGAAATTCTTTTGTTTATTCTTTATCTTCACTGTAGCAAGAAAGGGATCAAATAGTCTTTATTTTACTCTGCACTTGAGGAAGGAAGATGTCTCAAGCATATACATAATTTTCTTTGTAGGGGCATCAGTTAATGTTGCCGCATTAATTGTTGGTAGTCTTTCTCTCCAGTTACTTGAGCCTATGAATTATCGGCACCTACGTCATAACTTAGGTATGGAATGCATAGCCATATGTTGTAGAAATTTTAAAATTTTAAGTACCTTCTAAGCACTCCATTTTTACAGATTAAATGGAAACTTGGGAAGGGTAAAGTAACTTAGTTAAATATTTGACCTGGTAAAAGTAAGCAGCAATTTTAATTTATGTTTCTTTGACTTAGAAAAAATTTCTTTCCAGTTAATTATTGCTATTTTCCACCAGGACAACAACCGTGAATTTGAAAGTGTTGGAGAAAAACTAAATCTAAATCTGCATGTAGATTTTGTTAGTATAAAAAAACAAAGTGAGAAAGGAAGATGATTATTAAGTTACCTTTAATAGTTTTGTTGCGTGAACAAAGAAAATGCTACTTCTATCAGGCTAAACACCCGAGTTCTTCGTTAAGAAAAGCCAGTCCGGGCTCTGTGGCTCAGCCTGTAATCCCACGCCTTTGGGAGACTGAGATGAGTGGATTGCCTGAGCCCACGGGTTCGAGACCCGCCTGG